CCAGGATAACCCAGGGTAGGGAGGGTTAGCCACCCAGGATAACCCAGGGTTGGGAGGGTTAGCCACCCAGGATAACCCAGGGTAGGGAGGGTTAGCCACCCAGGGTAAGCCAGGGTAGGTAGGGATGGTTAGCCACCCAGGATAACCCAGGGTAGGTAGGGTTAGCCACGCTGGATAACCCAGGGTAGGGAGGGTTAGCCACCCAGGGTAACCCAGGGTAGGGAGCGTTAGCCACCCAGGATAACCCAGGGTAGGGAGGGTTAGCCACCCAGGATAACCCAGGGTAGGGAGGGTTAGCCACCCAGGATAACCCAGGGTAGGGAGGGTTAGCCACCCAAGATAACCCAGGGTAGGGAGGGTTAGCCACCCAGGATAACCCAGGGTAGGGAGAGTTAGCCACCCAGGGTAAGCCAGGGTAGGTAGGGATGGTTAGCCACCCAGGATAACCCAGGGTAGGAAGGGTTAGCCACCCTGGATAACCCAGGGTAGGGAGGGTTAGCCACCCTGGATAACCCAGGGTAGGGAGGGTTAGCCACCCAGGGTAACCCATGGTAGGGAGGGTTAGCCACCCAGGATAAGCCAGGGCAGGGAGGGTTAGCCACCCATGATAACCCAGGGTAGGGAGGGTTAGCCACCCAGGATAACCCAGGGTAGGGAGGGTTAGCCACCCAGGATAACCCAGGGTAGGGAGGGTTAGCCACCCAGGATAACCCAGGGTAGGGAGGGTTAGCAACCCAGGATAACCCAGGGTAGGGAGGGTTAGCCACCCAGGATAAGCCAGGGCATGGAGGGTTAGCAACCCAGGATAACCCAGGATAGGGAGGGTTAGCCACCCAGGGTAACCCAGGGTAGGGAGGGTTAGCCACCCAGGATAAGCCAGGGCAGGGAGGGTTAGCAACCCAGGATAACCCAGGGAAGGGAGGGTTAGCCACCCTGGATAACCCAGGGTAGGGAGGGTTAGCCACCCAGGGTAAGCCAGGGTAGGTAGGGATGGTTAGCCACCCAGGATAACCCAGGGTAGGTAGGGTTAGCCACCCTGGATAACCCAGGGTAGGGAGGGTTAGCCACCCAGGGTAACCCAGGGTAGGGAGCGTTAGCCACCCAGGATAACCCAGGGTAGGGAGGGTTAGCCACCCAGGATAACCCAGGGTAACGAGGGTTAGCCACCCAGGATAACCCAGGGTAGGGAGGGTTAGCCACCCAGGATAACCCAGGGTAGGGAGGGTTAGCCACCCAGGATAACCCAGGGTAGGGAGGGTTAGCCACCCAGGGTAAGCCAGGGTAGGTAGGGATGGTTAGCCACCCAGGATAACCCAGGGTAGGTAGGGTTAGCCACCCTGGATAACCCAGGGTAGGGAGGGTTAGCCACCCTGGATAACCCAGGGTAGGGAGGGTTAGCCACCCAGGGTAACCCATGGTAGGGAGGGTTAGCCACCCAGGATAAGCCAGGGCAGGGAGGGTTAGCCACCCAGGATAACCCAGGGTAGGGAGGGTTAGCCACCCAGGATAACCCAGGGTAGGGAGGGTTAGCCACCCAGGATAACCCATGGTAGGGAGGGTTAGCCACCCAGGATAACCCAGGGTAGGGAGGGTTAGCAACCCAGGATAACCCAGGGTAGGGAGGGTTAGCCACCCAGGATAAGCCAGGGCATGGAGGGTTAGCAACCCAGGATAACCCAGGATAGGGAGGGTTAGCCACCCAGGGTAACCCAGGGTAGGGAGGGTTAGCCACCCAGGATAAGGCAGGGCAGGGAGGGTTAGCAACCCAGGATAACTCAGGGAAGGGAGGGTTAGCCACCCAGGATAAGCCAGGGCAGGGAGGGTTAGCAACCCAGGGTAACCCAGGATAGGGGACTACTGATGTACAGTAGCTGACACTGTTGGTAACCAACTACTGATGCCAACTACTGGGTGTGTGGGAAGCAGTGCCACGAGGTGTAGTGCCAACTACGGGGGTTTGTGGGATGACACGTAGTGCCAACTACTGGGTGTGTGGGAAGCAGTGCCACGAGGTGTAGTGCCAACTACTGGGGTTTGTGGGATGACACGTAGTGCCATCTACTGGGTGTGTGGGAAGCAGTGCCACGAGGTGTAGTGCCAACTACTGGGGTTTGTGGGATGACACGTAGTGCCAACTACTGGGTGTGTGGGAAGCAGTGCCGCGAGGTGTAGTGCCAACTACTGGGTGTGTGGCATGCAGAGCCGTGAGATATAGTGCCAATTACTGAGTGTGTGCAAAGCAGTGCCAGGTGTAGTGCCAACTACTGGGTGTGTGGGAAGCAGTGCTGTGAGGTGTAGTGCCAACTACTGGGTGTGTGGGATGCAGTGCAGTGAGATGTAGTGCCAACTATTAGGTGTGTAATGCAGTGCCGTGAGGTGTAGTGCCAACTATTGGATGTGTGGGATGCAGTGCCGTGAGATGTGCCGACTATTGGGTGTGTGGGATGCAGTGCCGCGAGATGTAGTGCCAACTATTGGGTGTGTGGGATGCAGTGCCACAAGGTGTAGTGCCAACTATTGGGTGTGTGGGATGCAGTGCTACGAAGTGTAGTGCCAACTATTGGGTGTGTGGGATGCAGTGCCGTGAGATGTGCCGACTATTGGGTGTGTGGGATGTAGTGCTGTGAGATGTAGTGCCAACTACTGGGTGTGTGGGATGCAGTGCTGCGAGGTGTAGTGCCAACTACTGGGTGTGTGGGATGCAGTGCCACGAAGCGTAGTGCCAACTACTGGGTGTGTGCGATGCAGTGCCACGAGGTGTAGTGCGAACTACTGGATGTGTGGGATGCAGTGCCACGAGGTGTAGTGCGAACTACTGGATGTGTGGGATGCAGTGCCACGAGGTGTAGTGCGAACTACTGGATGTGTGGGATGCAGTGCCACGAGGTGTAGTGCAAACTATTGGGTGTGTGGGATGCAGTGCCACGAGGAGTAGTGCCAGCTACTGGGTGTGTGGGATGCAGTGCCATGAGGTGTAGTGCCAACTACTGGGTGTGTGGGATGCAGTGCCACGAGATGTAGTGCCAACTACTGGGTGTGTTGGATGCAGTGCCACGAGGTATAGTGCCAACTACTGGGTGTGTGGGATGCAGTGCCCTGAGTAGTGACAACTACTAGCTGTGTGTGATGCAGTGCTACGAGGTGTAGTGCCAACTACTGGGTGTGTGGGATGCAGTGCCACGAGGTGTAGTGCCAATTACTTGGTGTGTGGGATGCAGTGCCAAGAGGTGTAGTGCCAACTACTGGGTGTGTGATATGCAGTGCCACGAGGTGTAGTGCCAACTACTGGGTGTGTGGGATGCAGTGCCACGAGGTGTAGTGCCACCTACGATGTGTGGGATGCAGTGCCACGAGTAGTGCCAACTACTGTGTGTGTGGGATGCAATGCCACGAGGTGTAGTGCCTACTACTGCGTGTGTGGGATGCAGTGCCACGAGGTGTAGTGCCAACTACTGGGTGTGTGCAATGCAGTGCCGTGAGGTGTAGTGCCAAATACTGTATGTTGGATGCAGTGCCACGAGGTGTAGTGCCAACTACTGGGTGTATGGGATGCAGTGCCGTGAGGTTTAGTGCCAACTACTCAGTGTGTGGCATACAGTTCCACGAGGTGTAGTGCCAACTACTGGGTGTGTGGAATGTAGTGCCACGAGGTGTAGTGCCAACTACTGGGTGTGTGGGGTGCAGTGCCACGAAGTCTTGTGCCAGCTACTGAATGTGTGGGATGCAGTGCCACGAGATGTAGTGCCAACTACTGGGTGTTTGGGATGCAGTGCCACGAGGTGAAGTGCCAACTAATGGGTGTGTGTGATGCAGTGCCACGAGGTGTAGTACTGGGTGTGTGGGATGCAGTGCCACGAGGTGTGTTGTCAACTACTGGGTGCGTGGGATGCAGTGCCACAAGGTGTAGTGCCAACTACTGGGTGTGTGGGATGCAGTGCCACGAGGTGTAGTGCCAACTACTGGGTGTGTGGGATGCAGTGCCACGAGGTGTAGTGCCAACTACTGGGTGTGTGGGATGCAGTGCCACGAGGTGTAGTGCCAACTACTGGGTGTGTGGGATGCAGTGCCACGAGGTGTAGGTGCCAACTACTGGGTGTGTGGGATGCAGTGCCACGAGGTGTAGTGCCAACTACTGGGTGTGTGGGGTGCAGTGCCACGAGGTGTAGTGCCAACTACTGGGTGTGTGGGGTGCAGTGCCACGAGGTGTAGTGCCAACTACTGGGTGTGTGGGGGTGCAGTGCCACGAGGTGTAGTGCCAACTACTGGGTGTGTGGGGTGCAGTGCCACGAGGTGTAGTGCCAACTACTGGTTGTGTGGGGTGCAGTGCCACGAGGTGTAGTGCCAACTACTGGGTGTGTGGGGTGCAGTGCCACGAGGTGTAGTGCCAACTACTGGGTGTGTGGGGTGCAGTGCCACGAGGTGTAGTGCCAACTACTGGGTGTGTGGGGTGCAGTGCCACGAGGTGTAGTGCCAACTACTGGGTGTGTGGGGTGCAGTGCCACGAGGTGTAGTGCCAACTACTGGGTGTGTGGGGTGCAGTGCCACGAGGTGTAGTGCCAACTACTGGGTGTGTGGGGTGCAGTGCCACGAGGTGTTGTCTCTGTATACCTTCCTGTTAACCTTTTATTTATATAGTTCCCTGATAATGTGAGAAGTCTCGAAATCGCTTGGAATTTCACTATTTTCTCACAGTGGCATTTTGCATATTGTGATATCACCTGTTTACTGTGATCTTATTGCATATATATATATATATATATATATATATATATATATATATATATATATATATATATATATATATATATATATATATATATATATATATGTATATATATATTGTGTGGTATATCCCTGTTAGTTTATTTTATTCTTAATTATGAGCACTGAATCATTCTTAAGTGGTGTTAAATGTATGCTTATTAACTTGTGTAATGTATAAGTTAAGAAAGTAACTTACGGTACTATGTAAGGTTGACTGTGTGTGTCTCTCCTGACAGATGGACGGATGTTGCCCACAGACATCCGTCAACGGGTGTTTGACAACGGTACACTGATCATCTCTCAGACCCAGCGTGACACTGACGGTGGTCGCTACACCTGCAGGGCCTCTAACAGGCAGGGTCACTCAGCCTCCAGGGATGTTACTGTCACAGTTACTGGTCAGTTTCTCTCTCACTCTCTCTTTCTACCTCTCTTCTCTCCCTCCCTCTCACCCCTCTCTCTCTTTATTACATAGGGTTTTACAATGTTAGGTTAAGGCTCCCTAACTTTATTTACAAGCTAAGAGCTGTTACCTACATCAGCACACATGAAAGTCTTGTTATTGTTATATGACATACAAATAGGGAACAGGATAAAGTTGGAGCCTTCTGTGAGCCAGTGATTTCATTTGGTCAACTATTTCGTTAATGTTATTATGCTGTACAAACATGTTCCAGACTCGAGTCATCCTGGGAATAAATGATCACAGATGAAGTGATGTTCTGGAGGTTACAGTCAGAGTGTAGTTACTGTTGGCTGCCCGTCTTGTTGTGTAGAAGCACACTTCTCTCTGTCTTCGGAGTGGAGCCAAGTGTAGTGATTTGAAAGTATTGTCCTTGTACATAACAGTAAGGACACCCACATCCCTCCTGTGTTGAAGACTCTGCTGAAATAACAGATCTATCCAGGCCGGGTCCGCTCGAGAGGTGAACCGTCTTGCTTCTGTCAAGAAGTCGTAGATGAGACAGAGAACAATCCAAGAAAGTGGAGCATACTCGTATATTATAATTCATTTAAGTTGTTGCTGGCTGGCACATTCGCCGTTTTCTTTACCTCTGTGACGCAGTGTTCCAGTTGAGCTATAAATGTAAATATTAAATCCCTTGACTAATCCGCTCTTAAGTTGGAATATTGAGGATTACTACGGGATTACAACACACGGTGCTTCTGTTTGTTTTGCCAGCACACACATTGAGTTAACTTAGTGAATAATGTCCATGTGAATTATGTCCGTGTGCGTCAATGCTTGTTAGTACACATGTGAACGTGAGAGTGCTTGTTAGTACACATGTGTTCAGAGTGCTTGTTAGTACACGTGTGTGTGAGAGTGCTTGTTAGTACACGTGTGTTCAGAGTGCTTGTTAGTACACATGTGTGTGAGAGTGCTCGTTAGTACACATGTGTTCAGAGTGCTTGTTAGTACACCTGCGTGTGTGAGAGTGCTTGTTAGTACACATGTCTGTGTGTGAGTGCTTGTTAGTACATGTGTGTGAGAGTGCTTGTTAGTACACGTGTGAGTGTTAGCACACATGTGTATGAGAGTGCTTGTTAGTGCACATGTGTGTGAGTGCTTGTTAGCACACATGCATGTGAGAATGCTTGTTAGTACACATGTGTGTGT